AGAACTGGACTGAGCTGGGCTAGGCTGAGCTGAGCTGGGCTGGGCTGGGCTGGGCTGGGCTGGGCTGAGCTGGTCTGGGCTGGGCTGTGCTGAGCTGTGCTGAGGCTGAGCTGGGTTGAACTGGGCTGAGCTGTGCTGGCTGGGCTGGGCTGGGCTGGTCTGGTCTGTCCTGTGATCAAGCCATGTTGAAAGCTGCCAGTCCAGAAGGCTTGTCCCTCATTGATGTTTGACCCTCTGTGGGTGGCCAGTGGCAGTGTCGTGGCCAGGGATGTGGAATCTGGGGGAGTGCTGAGTGGGTGTGTGTCCCRTAGGACCCCTGGAGGGAGAAAGGGTGCCCAGAACCTGCATTGCCTGGGTGGGACGGAGCTGTAGGAGGTGCTAGGTGTRGCCTCTGAGCAGGGGTCTCCAGTCTTCCCTCCCCAGGTGGGAGTCCTAGTTGTGTGGGACAGACATGGGCCTGGAGTCCCATCAGCCCTGGCTGTCATTGTTCAGCCTTGGGGTCTGGGCCAGCACCCCACTGCCCCCTCTCTCTAGTGGGCAGTGGGGTGCCAAGGGCCTCACCAAGGAACTTGCCAGAAACTGTGGAAACAYAAGGCAGCTGGGTGGCCGTCAGGACAAACTGCCAGACCTCAGTGCTGGCCCCAGGCCCTCACCAGGGATCAGGGCTGGCTGGACCTTCAACCCCAGGGTACCAGCCCTCAGGGTCCTCCTTCCAGTTCACCAGCTGCCAGCCTGGGGCAGCCAGGGTCCCCCTTGACACGCTTTCACCCAGGGTCTCCTCTGGTGTCCTGCTTGCTGTAGGCATGCTGCTCCTTGCAGGACCCTCCCAGCAGCCTGAGCGCATGCCTTCTGCTCTGGTGGCCATCACCTTCCCTGGGCCTTGCAGGGCAGGCTGGGGGCCAACCTGAGCCCTTCCCACCCTGCATGGCCTGAACTCCTGCCCCCACCCCCAGGCCTGGCTGCTGTGGGGTGGGACTGCCCCAGGGTCTCAGAGGCCTCTTGGCCTGGCACACCTAGCCTGCTTTAGCTTCTGGCTTGGCCTCTTGGCACTGGGCCGCAGGGGCCACTGGCCAGGACTGGAGGGGTCCTGGGGCTGGGGTGGGGGCTGGGCATCCTCTGAGGCCTGGCCACCCTGCCCAGCAGGTTGCTCAGGCAGGCTTGCTGTGGCTCCTGCCCCGTCCTCTCTCGCCGTCTCTGTGTGCTGGTCTGGGGTTGTCAGGTCATGCCCTACCTCAGAGCTGTGTGGAGGTCTYGCCCGTGTGGCCCGGGCGGCAGACGGGCCTGGCAGTGACCTGCGTGCGTGTGGCCGCGGCAGTAACTCTGTTTTCTCGCTTTGTTCCTGCTGTAGTAAAGCAATGTTCAGTAAAAGCCTGGATATCGCTGAAGCCCATCCCCAATTCAGCAAAGAAGACAGGTACACACCCTGCCCGTCCGTCCGCCCTCCCAGCCCCAGACACACAGCCCCTGCCTGGCCAGGCAGGCACAGGCAGGGCCTGGAGGCGGGGCTGGGCTGGGCTGCAGACGCTTCCTCACCCCTGCTCTCTGGGAATGGAATGTCCAGCCAGCCAAGGAAGGAGCATGGCCAGCTGTGCTGTGGCCCAGGAGGGGTGGGTTTGCTGGGGCAAGGCTGATGGCCAGCCCGGGGGAAAGAACCGCACACGGTGCGTACACAGGCCCAGGGTGGGGGGCACCACTATGCTCCCCACCCTAGGAGCCCCACGTGGCAGCAGGGAGGCCTCCCTTTTGCTGGCCCTTGGCCTTGGTCCAGTGGGCCTGGCTGGCACTGGCTGCTGTGGCCCTGCTGCCCATAAGGGCTGGGATCAGCCACCCCGTTCCCCTGTGCTGGCAGGTGGTGGCTGACACCCTGGGTGGGGGCACTGCCTGCAGAGCTGCCTCCCAGAGCTCTGGCCCCTTGGGCCTCGTCCCTGTGGAGCCTGCCTGTGCCCTGGCCCCTCCCTCACCCTGCACCCCCTCCACTGTCCTCAGGACCGCGCCTTTCCTGCCGTGCCAGTTGTAGCTCAGTGTCCGGGGGCCAGGCAGGAGGCCTGCTCAGCCCCGGCCCTGCCGCAGCTCCTCTGCTCTCCTTGTGCCAGGTGGCAAGCTCCTGGCTGGCCTGGGGAGCCCGGGCCCAGATCTTGCTTGCTCGTGGCTGCTGCCCCCAGGACACCCCCTCTCCCTGGACACCTCCTCGGGGCCGGGCTCCCTCTCTGCCCCTGGGCTTTGCCCGATGCTGGCCCAGGCAGGCTCCTGGCAGAGGGTCTCGCTGCCTCCCTCTCCCTTGGCAGTCGGGTGGGGAGACCTGCAGGTTGCTGCCATGGGGCCCTTCCCACAGGTGCCCGGGGGCCAGCTGGGAGCAGGCCAGGGCCAGGGTCGCCAGGGTGCTGGCGCCCTCAGTAGCTCCTGAGCCTAGGAGCCAGTCCTCGGTATGGGCYGGGAGGCCCTTTGCAGCCGGGCTGGCCAGCAGTGGGCACACTGGGGGCAGTGTGGGGTGGTCTTTTACTCTTTCCTGTCCTCTTCTCTCCTGTGGCTGCCACCCCTGCCCCCGTTTCCCTCCTCTAAGGACGGCAGGTGCCGCTGCCCAGGGGTGAGATGGCCTTTGCTTGTCCTCTCTTTTGGTGTGGTGGGGCCAAGGCCTGTGCCTGCCCTCAGGCAGCTGCTCACCTGTGGTGGTGGACACATGGGCTCTCTGCTGTGCCTGGCCGGTCTTCAGCTAAGTGGGGCAGTGATGGTGCAAGAGGGGGGCTCTGGGCTGGCCGCAGGCGTCTCTGGTGGACATTTGTGGATGTGGAGGGCTGGGCTAGTGCCCAGCTGGTGGTCCACACACCCGTCGCTGTGACAGCTCAGCCCTGGGGTCCGTGCTCAGGCGGCAGGGGAGTGGACCCAACAGGAGGCTTGGCAAGGATGGGGCTGGACCCAGTTCACAGCAAGCCTCCACCTTGCCCCTCGTCCCTCCATCTACCCAGGGGCCTGCAGACCTTGCTGAGGCCCTCTGGGCACCGCATCCTGTGCCAGGCCTGGGCTGYTGGTGGCTCCTGTGTGTGGGGAGGAGCCCCAAGGACCCTGATGGGTGAGGTCAGCAGGATGATCCTAGGCACAGCGGTGCATCCAGGGACCTCTTAGGGTTGGCAGGTGTGAACCAGGCCCCAAGGCCTGGGGCTCTGGGCTGGGTCTCCAGGCCTCTTGGTGTCCACCTGGGGAGAGGAGCAGGAGCCCCTCCTGGCCGAGTCACTGTTTTGTCCTTTGCCACCCCCAGGTCTCGGTCCATCAGTGGTGCCTCCTCGGGCCTGTCCACGAGTCCACTCAGCAGTCCCCGGGTGAGTGACCAGCCATCCTGACCTCAGCTGTGGGTCTGCCGTCCCGCGTGCGCAGGGCGGGGGTGGGCACAGGCCGGGACTCAGGCTGCCTTGTGGCTGCTGCTCTTGCTAACTGCACGTTCTTCTGTTTGTGTTGTTTGTTTTCTCGTCATTCCGTTTTCTTTTGTGGCCAACCCTCCCTGGCTGCCCGTCCGTCCTGCTTGGGGTCCTGTTTGATGCTCTGATGTTGGGTTGCATGGGGCGGGTGGGGCATGTGGGCGGCTGCATGGTCACCCTGCCCGCTTGTTCTCTGCTCCCTCGTAGCCCATTAGAAAGTCCATCCTGCCCCCCCCTCCCCCCGAGCTCCCCTCCACGGCCTGCCCCCTGGCCACCTCCCTGGAGCCTGAAGCTTGCCGGAGCACCTCGCGGCCTGGACCCGTCCTCCCTCCACAGGCCGCCCCACGGCCCAACCCCAAGACCCAGACCTTGCCGTGCAAGGCCAAGCTCACCGACAAGCCACTACAGGGCACCACGTCCAGTCCACTCCCCGCCTGCACCCAGGCCCAGCCTCCTGTCGCCAGCCTCAGCCCCCCGCTGGCCTTGCCCCCAGGCCCCCTGGCCCTGCCACCCCCTGCCCGGCTCCCTCCCGCTGGGACTGAACCGAACACCAAATCTGTCCCCACCATACAGGTGACCCCTCACCCCTCGCCGAGGGGCAGTCCCCTCCCTACCCCCAAGGGGACGCCCGTCCACACGCCAAAGGAGAGCCCAGCCGGCACGCCCAACCCCACACCGCCATCCAGCCCAAGTGTTGGAGGGGTGCCCTGGCGGACACGGCTCAACTCCATCAAGAACAGCTTCCTGGGCTCTCCCCGCTTCCACCGCCGGAAACTTCAAGGTCAGAGCCAGCACCGGCCAGGGCAGGGGACAGCTCCAGGGCCTGCCCAGCCCTATTGGAGTTGCCTACAGACAGATGGCAGGGTCTGGGGGCTGCTCTGCAGCCTTGGTGCCCTCTCAAGTCTGCCCTCGCCCCATCCCAGCTCCTCCCCTCACGCTCCCCACTGTACCCAGTATCCGCCGCCTTCTTGGGGGCTGTTCTACCAGAAGCTATGGCAGCAGCCACGTTGCCCGAGGCTCACCTCACACAGGCTGGGCCAGCACCTCTGGGTGTCGGCATCGCCAGCTGTCAGCTCGAGCTGCCTGAGCCCAGGGAAGAGGGTCGGCTGCCACGGGTGGTGGGCAGTGCACAGGCCCTGCACGGTGCTGGGTGACCAGCTGGGTCTGGGCTGGTTGGAGGCTGAAGGAGACACAGCTCGACTTCAGCACCAGAGGCTGGACAGCTCCCTGCAGGCTGAGAGCTGGTGGGGTTGATGGGGGACCCCGCTGGGGCAGGGGCTGAGCCTCTCCCTCTTCTTCCCTTGTGTGCAGTTCCCACACCCGAGGAGATGTCCAACCTGACCCCGGAGTCCTCCCCAGAGTAAGTGGATCCTGGAGGTCTCCTGGCACCTGGACACCAGACCAGCTGGGGAGGGACTTGGGAGACTCTTCCCAAGGGCAGGTGGGGTCCTTCTCGAGGCGGCCCTGCTTGTTCCCCTGGTCCCACTGCAGGCAGGGACCAACTGGGGCTGCTGAGTCTCACCTTGGGCCCCACTGGGGTGAGGTGTGCAGGGGGTGCACTGTGCTTCCCAGGGCCTGGGAGATCGTAGGGACAGTCGGGTCTCAGGAAGTCGGGCTTTGCTGAGGAGGGACAGCTGCAGGATGCAGGGCCCAGCAGCAACATGGAGGACCTAGCAGGCTTGGTAGGAGCTTGGGGACATGGCCTTGGCAGAGGCTTGGTGACGATGGAGTGGGCAGAGTGAGACCTGGCCCTGGCCCTCTTGAATGCTGAACTTGAGGAAAGGACACCCAGKCAGGCAGAGCCATGGCCACCCTGCAGACACTAGGTGCCTGTATGGCACATCCCATGGTGACGCCTGTGAGCGTCCAACCCTCTCTTTGTCCTTCACAGTGGCCTCTACTGGTCAGCTCTCTGGCCACTGCTGATGTACATGTGTGTAAGTGCTGCTGCAGAGCACAGCCTGGTGGGGGTCTTGTGGCCTCTGCCTACAATGGTGGCGGGGACAGCCTTGTCAGAGTGAGGGGAAAGACTTATCCTGCCATTGGTGTTCAGTAAGGAACCCTGGGAGGCAGCCTGCTCCGTGCTAAACCCTCTGGGAGCGGCATATGCAGGGGAGCCGTGGACTTTCTGTCACTTTGTGGCGGAGGCACGGTGGCCAGCGGGTGCCTGGGAACCCTATTTGGTTCTGCTGTCAGTTGGGCTGCTGTCAAAAGCTTTCAGCCTCAGACTTGCGAGTCTTCTGTGTTTTGGAAAAGTTGGAAGAAAGCACCAACCCGCTTCCTCTCTCGCTGGTGGGGGCCCTCGGAGCCTCATCCCCTCCCAAGGGCCTGAGCAGATGCAGTGGCCCCCAGGCTCAAGACGCCATCACCTCCTCTGTTCTGAGGACTTGCTCCCTGGCTGCCGCCAGCCCAGGTTGTTCGTGGCTTCCAGGGACAACCCGAGGACAGGCTCCCTTGATTGCCCACAGTGTGACCCGCTTCCTTGTGAAGACTGGAGAATTCTGTCCTCTTGGGAAGCCTGTCAAGCAAGGCCCCCTTCCTGAGGGGTCGTCTGTTTCCCTGAGTTCACTGATCTAAGTGCTGTTCTCATCCCCAGACACCTGGTGTCCACACCCAGGCTGGACGATGTGGCCCAGCCATGCGAACATTCGAGCTCCAGCAGAACCACAGCCCACTCAGGCCCCTCTGGTCATTGGGCTTCTTTTAGACAGGGGACCCTCTGTGCCAGATGCCACACCACAGAACCCAAAGTCCAAGACCTCAGTTGTTATTCTGTCTTCCTTGAAGGAGGGGCTTCRGAAGCCCACCTGTGTCTTCCCGACTGCTCTGTAGGAGGCCCCGAGTGCCCCTGGTCTTCAGGCCCTGACGTGGGTACTGGGCATGGTCAGGCCGAGAGCTCACTCAGAGAGCTTCAAACAAGAGGACTGTGGGCTTTGGGCAGCAGGAGCACAAAGGGGCTGGGTGGGAACCTTGCACTCAAAAGTCATGCTGAGCCTCAGGCCAGCCCAGGGTGGGTGCTGCCGGCGCAGGTCCTCCTGCCTCCTTGCTGCTCCCCCTCTCTGCCCTGGGCCCAGATGCWGGCGGTGGCATGGGGGTACCTCCCTCCTGCCACCGGCCTCTGCATTGCCACCCCAGCCTGTGTGGGTGCACTAGATGTGTTTGCCCTACGGCTGCTGGTGTGCAGGCTGGTGGTCATTGGGGAGAGGTCCCTGCCAGCTCAGCAACTCCTGGTTTCCAGGGCGGGAGCTGGATGTGCTCCACTGGGCACTGTGGTGGTGTCTGAGGGCACTGGGGAGGAGCCCCTCCCAGCCCCGTGGTGGTGGGCAGGCTGGGTCCCCAGGGCTTCGGTGGGGAGACTGCCAGCAAGGTAGCAAGAGGCTGAGCCGTTTGCCCTCACTCAGAGGTGCCACCTGCACGTCTGCCATATCCCCCTGGTTCCCATTCCCAGGGGCAGTAGCCCCCTRTGGATGCAACTGAGGCTGGCAGTGTCTGCCCAACACACTGGCATCCAGCTCCTGTCCCGGCAGGGGCTCCATCGCAGATGGTATCTGTGACTTAGGAAAGAGCGCAAAGGGGATGGGTGGCCTCCTGCAGTGAGGATGAGGAGCAGGATGACCTGGGGTGGCAGGGGGCCATGTGGGCCCGGGCCTGCCTGTCAGGCAGCTGAGGCCCGCTGGGCAGCAGTGGGTGCTGGCAGGCCAGCGGTCATCCGGTGCTGGGTCAGTCTGAGGAAATAAGGCTGTGGTAGGGTGAATCCCATGGCCAGGTGTAGATCACACTGGCCCTGGACCAGGTCTGGGAGTCCAGGATCTACCTGTGGGGCCTGGTCTCCCAGGCAGAGCCAGCAGCCATCATCCCTAGGACACCTACCAGATGAAAGGGGCACGTGGCCCTGCTGTCTGCAGCTTCTCTCCCATGCCTGCCTGTACACCAGGTTGGGGGTACTTCTGCCAGGACGGGCACAGCAGACTACCCCAAACCCAGGGACCCGAGAGAAGGGCAGGGCTGGGGCTCCCTTCTAGCTCCCACCCCTGCCTGCCTGGCTGGTGTCCAGCATGTGCAGCTGAGACCAGCAGGGCCTCTGAGAGCAGGTTCAGGGTAGGAGGTGGAGTTAGTACGTTTGGAGAGGGTTGGGACCACAGGCTTGGGCTAGGTGAGGGTTAGTGGGGGTCAGGTTAAGGTTTGGGGCTGAGTTTGGGGAGATGGTTATGGGTTTTGGCCACACAGTGGTGTTGGGAGTGGGTGAATTAGGGGTGAGACGGGGCCAGCATTGGGGGCCGGTGGTGGGCCTGCCAGTCATCACAGCCTCKGTCCCCAGGCTGGCCAAGAAGTCCTGGTTTGGGAACTTCATCAACCTGGAGAAGGAGGAGCAGATCTTCCTCGTCATCAAGGACAAGCCCCTGAGCTCCATCAAGGCTGACATTGTGCATGCCTTCTTATCGGTGAGGCCAAGGCAGGGCCTGGCGGGCTGCCCCCCCCCCCCCAGGTCCAGCCTCTGCAGGCAGGCAGCTGGGGCCCAGAACAAGCCTTGGTGCCCTCTGCCCACATGCTTTCCTTCTTGGAGAAGCACTGCTGGGGGCCCTTGGCCTGCAGCAGGGGTGGGAGGCTGCTCTGGGCTGGCTGTGGAGGGATGGGCTAGAGGCTGAGGTGAGTGCAGGTGGCCACACAGCTCAAGGGAGGCTGTGAGCTTGAGGGACCTGTGTGGGTTCCTGCTGACCTTCTGTGGATGCCTGCTCCCTGTGCCCCTCTCCTCACCCATTGGTTTGTAGGCCTCACACAGCCCCTACCTTGCCCATGGAACCCAGTGGTCGCTGTGAGGGGGGCCAGGCTTGGGGCCTTGAATGGGTGTCTCATCTTTTGGGTTCTGAAGAGCAGAAGGATCCTCAAAGACTTGAGTAGAGATATTGTTTTAGCCAGGATGTGAGCTCTCGGTCCCTTCAGGGGGCTTCTGTCCCTGCTGACATCCTGTCCTGGCCTGTGTCCTGTCTTGGGACTGCCTTGTGCTAGGCCAGGCCTGTCTGAGGCCTTCTTGGCTCATATCCCCACCCTAGTCCATCCTGGTCCACGATATGCTGGCACTTGGCCCAGGAGAATCATCCTGTACTGTGGTCATCCACACTGAGGATGCCCCCCCACCGCCTCAGGATGCCCCCCCAGGGTGGCTCTTCCCCACTGGACACACTGCCCGAGGAACCCTCAAGCCTTACCACCTGTGTGTCTACAGCTAAGGACTTCCCCTGGTGCCCYAGAGATGGCTCAGAACCCTGCCAGGGATGCCCAGCCCKGGAGAGCAGTTGGGTTTCAGGCTGYAGAAGACACCTGTTCTCTTGCAGTCCCTCACTGCTCTCAGGCCTGGGCCTGTCCCCTTCCCAGCCCCATCTACCACGTCTCTGCATGCTGCTCCTGGGTCGCCAGCCCAGCGTCAGCCAGAGCCAGGGCCCTGGTCCCTTCCCAGTGCTGGCTAGAGGCCATCTGCTGGTGCGGCCTGTCTGCCATGGCTCTGCCCATGCTGCTCAGCACTGTGGATCTGACTGAGCTGGGGAGGACTCAGCCCCTGTGTGCCTGGGCTCCGGAAGACCCAGGGCAGGGGACACAGACTGCACCCTTAGTGGGGTGCTCTGATGCTCCCCTTAGCTCCTGCTCCCCAGACTCAGGCTGCAGGGGTTCTCCTGGCCCTCCCGCAGGCCCTCCCCACAGACCCCAGGGCCACAGTTTGCATGCTCCTGACAGGCGGGGGCTGGGGACAGTGACTCTGTTAGTCTTGCCTGCACCACGCCTGCCTCACAGATCTGGAAACAGACTCGGGGGTACGGGGCCTGCGACCCGGATTCTCTGGGTCRAGCAGGGCAGAGCTGCAGGGCTGCCTCCCAGGCTGCCTCCCAGGAGGGCTGGCTACGCTCATGCTKCGCCGTGTGCTCTTCAGATCCCTAGCCTCAGCCACAGCGTCATCTCCCAGACGAGCTTCCGGGCTGAGTACAAGGCGACGGGAGGCCCGGCCGTGTTCCAGAAGCCCGTCAAGTTCCAGGTGGACATCACCTACACGGAGGGTGGTGAGGCCCAGAAGGAGAACGGCATCTACTCTGTCACCTTCACCCTGCTCTCAGGTGAGCCTGGGGCCGGGGGCAGCTTTGGATGGCTGTGCGGCACAGGGATATGACCCCTATCTCCCCCAGGTCCCAGCCGCCGCTTCAAGAGGGTGGTGGAGACCATCCAGGCCCAGCTGCTGAGCACCCATGACCAGCCGTCTGCCCAGCACCTGTCAGGTGAGGCGGAGGCTCAGCTAGGGCACTGTGGCTAGCGAGTGGGGTGTGGCCAGTGGTGCTGTGTGGATGGGAGGTGTGAGGGCCCAGCACGGCCTCCCTGCCCCAAGCTGTGGCTGCACCGCTCAGGAAGCAGGGCCCCTCCCCGGGCACAGCGGGCTGCAGCACACTGAAAGGTGCCTCTTGTCCACTGTAGAACCCCCCCCGCCAGTGCCAGGACTAAGCTGGGGTGCTGGGCTTAAGGGCCAGAAGGTGGCCACCAGCTACGAGAGTAGCCTCTGACGCTGGCAGGTAAGGTGTCCGGCCTGCTGCCGGGGTGGGGAGGGGCTGCGGGCAGGGCCTGGCAAGAGCCAGGCTGGCCTTGAGAGGGGCACCCTAGGCCCACTCGTCTGTTCTGGCCCTGGAAAGGCCAGCGGGCCCAGCACCCAGGCAGCTGGACACTGGGGCCACCTGAGCAGGCTCTGGGAGTAGAGACCCAGGCCTTGCCCCTTGGGGCTCCCTGCCACAGCACCCTAAGAGGGCTGGGGCTCCCCATCTCCCTGCAGCTCCTGACTACCTGAAGCCCTGCCTTGAGCAGCACAGGGACCTGGCCGCAGAGCAGGGTACTCAGGGGAGGGCTGCTAGGCCCTGGCCAGCAGGGGCATCCAGGCCACTGGCATCTGGTGGGGAGAGGCAACAGCTGCACACCTGGCCCTGTGCATGGCACACRCGTGTGGGCCCCAGGAGGCAGGACCTGGGCACGTGCATGGCTGTCTGTTAGCCAAGGGTTTGCTGAGTGTATGCATGGGGTCATGGTGAGTCACGCAAGGGGGTTGGGGCCTTGGAGACACAAAACAGCCCAAGCCCAGCCTCTCTGAGCCCCACAGCCAGCTGGGTCTCACTGGGCCCTTTTCCCAGCCTGCTGTCTCCACAGCTGGGGCCTGTCCATCACTTCTGTGCGTGTGTGGGGTCCTGGAGGTCCTGTTTTACCCTGCCCCCATCTCATTCCATCTTCCTCCCGTCATCTGTGGATGTGCCTCCAACATGCACCTCGTCACCCCACGGTGACAGCCCTAGCCCTGGCCCAGACTCCAGGGAGCCCCCACTCCTGGGAGCCAGCCAGTGCAGTGGGCAGGAAGCAGGGTGGGCCAGGTGCCCAGGCAGGCACTGTTTTGGGGCAGGGGGACGTGCAGTCGACCTGAGCAGCCTGTGCCTCCTCAGGGCCAGGCCCCACTGTAGAGCAGAGGGAAACAGAGGCTGGACGCAGCAGGCAGTGCCAGGTGACTGAGCAGAGGACGACAGGCCRCGTCGGCTCTGGGAGGGTGGGTGTGTCTGGGGCAGATGAAACCCAGGTGGGGTCACTCAGCTGCTGAGGKCCTTCTCTGTTCCTGGCATCCCCAMGAGCAGAGCCCCAGCCTCCGGCCCTGGCCTTTGCTGAGCGCTGCCCTTCAGACTGTTGGTGCTCACTCTGGACCCTGTCTGTCCCCTTGTGGACCTGGGACCTCAGCCTGTCCCACTGTTGCCTGCCATGGGCCTCCTGCCTCCCAGCCCTTCCTGGCGTCCTCCTCCATACTTCAGTGACTTAGCTCCAGAGCTTGTCCCTCACAGAAGGACCTCCTGTCCTCCAGAACCCTGGTGGCCACTCTGACAGGGAACCCAGCCCAGGGTGGGGGTGGGGAGGCTGAGAGGCCCCTAGTGAGCAGGCCACATGAACATGTCCATCTGTCTGCAGGCCCCAGGGAGGGCTTGGAGGGACAGCTCCCACCCCAGGGCTCTGCTACCACCCCAGCCTTGGCCCCTGCCAGCAGGACACTCCCAGGCTCAGCAGAGGGTGGGAGAAGGCCAAGGAAGGGGGGCCAAGACAAGTTGAGGGGTGAGTGGGAGCCACCCCATGCAGTGCCTGAGTGGCAGAGTGAAGATGCACAGGGGCCAGTGTAAACCATGCCAGAGCAGTCTGTCTGTCCTGAGTCAGGCAGGGGACAGAGGAGTCAGGCAGACCCCAGGACAGGGCTACGTCCTGCCTTCTGGCTCYGGCTGCTGGGGATCTTCCACTGCCACCTGGCTCCCGCCCCACTGCAGGCAGGCGATTCCTGCCCTGACCCCTGCCACTAGCTCAACTCTGTCCTTGCTCTAAGCCCTGCCCTCAGGGCCTAGCCCTGTGCCCCTGCCCACTCCCAGCACCGCCTGGTCCTAGATCTTCCCTGTCTGGGCCCTGCCCACTCCTGGCCCCACCCCTCTGGGCCCCACCCCTCTGGGCCCTGCCAGAGGCTGCAGGTGGCCAGCCGGTCAGGTGGGAGTGGGCAGCCTTTTTCACTCTCTCCCTCCCTCCTCTCTCCATTCTGTGCTCCAGACACCACTAACTGTATGGAAATGATGACGGGGCAGCTTTCCAAATGTGGTAAGAACCCCTCACGCTCACCTGCACCTTAGCCTCGGCCCCACTGCTCACCCCACAGCCCACCTGGCCAGTGCTGCCCTGTGCTCCTGAGGCTGTCTCGGAGGCTCTGTGAATGCACAGGCACCCGACCACCCAGTCTCCCTGCCCTGTGGCCCCCATCTTCTGCCAGGAGCAGTATCCATCACTCACTCCCCTCCCTGCGCAGCCCCTGTCCATCCCAAGGACCAGGGCAGGCACAGGAGGGACCCCAAGGCTTGGAGCAGGAAGGGAGGGGTCCCCATACCTGAAGTTGGTGAGGGTCCAAGGTACAGGTGCTGGCCTGGAGTCAGAATGGATTCTGCCCACCGGCTGGGCCTGGCAGGGTGAGGAGGAGGCCTGCAGGGCTCTGGGCTTAGATGGAGGTCAGGTCAGGAAGTAGAGTTGAGGTGCACCAATGGCGTGCCTGGGCAGTGAGCACAGGCCCCCGGAGGGGTGGTCACCCTGTTTCTGCCCATTCTTCCTGCTTTCTGGGACCAGGAACCTGGCCTAGCTGTCTGTCCCCAGACCCCTGCCTGCCTATGCCCTCCATGCCTGTCCACCCATCCATCCATCTGTCTGTCTGCTGCTGAATGTCCATGCTGGCCAGGGGCTGGCTCCAGGCCTCCCGGGAGGCACATTCCCTTGCTGAGTCCTTGGGTGCTGGCTGCAGCCTCCCCACCCTTGTGCAGGCTCCTGCAGGGGGCAGCTGCTGACCTCAGGGTCTTGCTCAATCTTGGGGTTCCTAGTGGGCCCTGGCCTTTACACCACTATTTCCAGAATGGGGTCCGCCAGCCCACATGGCCCCAGGCTGGGAGGGGAGAGGAGGGGTTCCCAGGGCTCTGCGGCCCCTCTGGGTGCCGGAGCCTCCCACCTGCCGCCTGCCGCCTGCTTGCTGCAGCCCTGCCGGCCCGCCTGCCTGCCCGCCCGCCTCTCAGACACCTCCTCGGGCTTTTCTTCCTCCTCAAGGCCTCTCSGTTCATTTGTTTGTTTGTTCTCTCTCCTTCCCTCCCTTCCTCTTTCTCCCCCACCCTTTTCTTTTTCTTTTCTTTTTTTTGTCTCTGTTCTGTGTACCCAGGCAGCCCATTGAGTAACTTCTTTGACGTAATTAAACAACTTTTTTCAGACGAGAAGAACGGGCAGGCGGCCCAAGCCCCCAGCACGCCCGCCAAGCGGAGTGCCCACGGCCCCCTCGGTGACTCCGCGGCCGCTGGCCCTGGAGGGGACGCCGAGCACCCCATGGGCAAGGACACGGCCGGGATGGGGCCGCCCGCTGTGAGCAGCCTTAGACACTAGTCCCTCCCCAGAACAGCGCTGACCGTGGCGCCCACCGCCACCGCCTAGTGTGGACCCGGGCCAGCCGCCCGCCCAGACGTTGCCTCCAAGCCTGGGAGCAAAGGAGAGCGCGGGGCCGCGGCGTGCGGGCGGGGCGCCGCTCGCTCTCTTTTCTCTCTCGCGGTCATTGTCTCTGCCTGTCTCTGACGACGTCGCTTGTTTCCGCTCTGATACCAGGAATTATCCCGAAAAGCTAACATGCCACCTCCAGGAGGCCACCCTCTGCTCCGCGCGGACACTGGCTGACCGAAGGCAGCTGCTGCGGACCGCCCTCCCTCCTCCTGCTGCTGCCGGGCGGGCGGCGAGGCCAGCGTACGTCCACCGCCCCGGCCCCCGTGCAGCTCCGCATGGCCCGCGGGAGGAGGGCCCGGCTCCGGATGCCTCCTCCAGCCCAGCAGACCTGCGGCAGGGACAGCCTGCCCTGCCGTCTCCGGGGCAGGGGCTGTGGCAGGCGAAGCCGCTCCTGGAGGCCTCCCGGCCGTCTCCTCTCCTCCGCACCTCGGCCTCTCCAGGGCCACCTCCTGTCTCGTCTGCATCCATTTCTCCACTGCCTCACTGGGGGCCGCGGGCACACCTGGCTTTGAAGGTCCTCCCTGGCTGAGTGGAACAGACCCTGTGGGCGCCGGAGCTCCTGGGGCTGGCCAGGCTGTGGGGCTGGGCTGAGACCAGTATTATTTATTTGCTATTTTAATTTATTGAGTTTCCTTATTTCTCTGTTCTCTGTTCAGGGAAGGGGTGGCGGCATGCCCTCCTGCTGTCTGTCCCTGCCGTCCGTCTGTCTGTCTGTCTGTCTCGGGCAGGGTGGGTCCGGAGCCAAGGTGCCCTCTGAGGACACAGCCCTTGGGGGCTGGGGGCAGTGGGGCTGGCCGGTAGATGYGCGCTGGCAAGCTACTGTAAACTTTAAAGAATTCCTGCAAGATATTTTTATAAACTTTTTTTTCTTGGTTGTTTTTGGAAAAGGGTGTGGGGGTGGGGGGACCGCGGGGGCAGGGCTGAGATTCTGTGTTTTGGTTCCTYGCTCTTGGTTATTTCTATAYACATATACATATATATATTTAAAGAACTGCGCGGGTAGCTCTGCCCCAGGTGGCTTTATTGCTGCCTAGAAGCAGCACCAGCTCTGTTGGGGGGCTTGGGGCTGGGTGTGGTCCTAAGCAGGGCGGCTGAGACCGCCCTGTGACCCACACCTCTGCCCCTSTGGCCAGGCCAGGCTGGGTGACCTTGGTTTAGTGTCTGAGGGTGAAGGGGTAGAAAGAGGGCCCTGGGCTGGCACCCCACTGACACACGGGATGGCAGGCCCACCTCGGGCATTTTTTTAATTAAAATTTAAAAAAAAAAAAGCTTTAAAAAAAAAAGACAAAGTCAGTGGCGTGTGCCTCTGCAGTGTGTTTCTCCTGTACGTGGTGAGGTGAGGGGCCTGGCCACCCTGCCCGCTGCCTGCTGTCCACTGTCCACCGCAGACCCGCCTTGCTCCACCCTGCCTCCGGCTTCCGTTCACGTCCCTCTGTCCAGCCGGCCTGGCCCCGAGGCTGGCACCAGACGTGGGCGGCGCAGGAGGCGGGGTGGGCCCGATGCATGCCTTTGCTGTGGTGTCTCCCCTGCCGGCCCCTCGGCCCCTCGTGTAGATTTTAATGCTTCTGTTACATTGAAACTCCACCACAGGCCGGGATTCCAGGCATAAAACAAAACCAAACACCTGCAACAGCAAGAGCCACGCAGCACAGCCGGAGCGGGGGCTTGTCCAGGAGACAGAGCCACGCGGCACAGCGGCGGGGGGGCGAGGGGGGGCTTCTCCGGGTGACAGAGGGTGCCGAAAGCAATACCTCTCCTTGGCCTTCCTCTTTGTACTCCAGACACACGCGGACTCACGCGGACGTCCCCATCCAGTGTACCCCCTGTCAGATGACTGTGAGCAACTTCAGTTCCAGAACAATAAATTCCTTCCGAAAAGACAATTGATGCAAGGTCTCCATCGGGGCGGGTTGGGTTCAGGAAAGGCAGAGACGCCCYGAGGCGGCTCTCACCCCGGTGTGAGCCTGTGTGGGCTCTGCCCAGCTGAGAGCAACCCCTGCACAGGGGTCCAGGCAGCCATGGTCATCTCCCCAGACTGCCCTGGTCYGAGACAGTACCACATTTAGGGACAGGGCTGGCATGGAGCTCTGCTGTGGACAGGGCAGCAGGAGACAGGAGCACTGTCCCCGCCTCATCCCTGCAGCTCCACTAGCACCCTGAGACCTGCACAGGGCCACCCAGCACCTGGGCTTTCTCCTAGAGAATGAGCCTTCCTGTTCCTTACTCCGGGAGAATGCAGGCTGGGCACTGACCTGGCCCAGGAGTCAGGGTCCAGGGTTGCTGAAGGATGGTCTCAGTCACACCCACTGTGGAGGGTCGCAGGCCAGGCACCATGTCACCCACAGCCTGGCTGCCCTTCTGCTGTGAGAGCATAAAGGGTGGATCCCGTTCCCAGGGCCAGAAGACGGCCGGCCCCATGTTTGGGAGGGCCTAGGAGTCCCCCACAGCCTGGAGGCAGATGGGGCAATTTCCAACAGGGGTCTGAGCAGAGAACACCATGTCCACAAAGCCAMCGTTCCCAGGCGTGGCTGCAGCGCGGCCTAGCGGCAGTGCCCAGCCTTTACCTCGCCATCTCTGGAGAAGGGCTCCATCACCCGTGCCAACACCGGGGGCTGGCTGACTGTGGTGGGGTCATCCGGTGCTCTGTGGAAGCTCTGGGGGGCTCTGAAGCATTCCTGGCCTCTGCCCAATACCTACCAGAACCTGTCTTCCGCTTCTGCTGTGACAACCCAAAGTTCTCCCAGATATTGCCATGTRTCTACTGGGGCCGAATGGCACGGTTGAGGCCCTGCTCTGAAGTTCAGCATCTGGCTGGTACACCATCTTGAAGAAAGAAGAAAGCCTGAGAGCACCCTGTTTTTCTGGCTTAGCTCTGAGCTCAAAGCCCAGAAGAAGAGTGCTGRGGTGAAGCTGGGGTCATCCCCATCCTGGATGTCACTATGTCCTCAAGGGAGACAGTTTCCAGAAGACACTGAGAGCAGCCAGGGGACAGACTCTATTGCCATGACAAGTAGCACACTATCTCAGTTAATGTGAGCTTTAAGAGAGGTTCCAGGAAGGAACTGGGTGCCACCATCGAGCAAGGTGCATAGTTGGCTGGCTCTGGAGGTCCCAGGTTGCAGGTCGTGGGTAGRAAATCTTGGCCTGTGGTCCTGCAGTGCTTTTCTGAGAGCTGACCACACAGACCCACTGGACACTGAAGTCTACGGTTTGCTTAGGGTGCACTGGATTGAGTCCCAGAAGGAAACCAATCGACTGAACAGACCTGCCGGCTTCCCATCTGCACACCTACTGGCCCAGTGCGTGGCTCAGGAAGGGGCCTTGCCCTTCAGCCTCACTTCTCCCACCAAGCTCTCTTGGTTTCAGCTAACAGGAGCCAAAGCAAGCTCATCCCCAAACTGCATTTATATAAAAAAATAAAATAGATACAAAAGGTTTCCTATGTGTCAGACACTGTCCTGAGCACTTTAGACTCAGCATGAAGCCAATGGTCCTCAATGTTATTCCTATGAAGAAATGAAAATGAGGACTTGGGTGGGGTTCCCAATCCCTAGTTCTCGGGTACATTTTGGGTCTGTGCCTACCACGGCCTGGCCCGAGTGCTGGGTTCCCAGTGAGCTACCAGTGGGTCTACAGGTGGACCGTGGGGATGGCTGACTCATGCTTGCCAGGGCTGAGTGCAGGCAGGAGCTGCCGCAGGGTGAGGTGAGCTCAGGGAGGAGACGCTGAGCACCCACAGGCCTCTGCTCGGAGGGACCTGTCCCAGCTTCAGTCCCCACTTTCAGTCGGCCTCCTGAGTACAGAATCCCTGTGTCATGAGGCCTAGGAGCTTGGGAGAGGGTGGATCCTCAGTGCTCCACGGGCCAGCCGCCCCGCCACCCATCCTATGCCAGGGAGTTCATCACCAGAGGCGTCCAGGCCTCGCTGGCAACTCTGCCTCCCGTCTTGCCCCCTCTCCCTGTGGGCCGGAGCCTCCCCACCCTCTTCTCAGTCTTCTCTCCYCGCCCTTGACGTTTTCCCTTCCCTGGACAACCTCCCCCAACACACACACACACTTCCTGTCACCACCCAAGCTGCTTTTGGTACCATCTGCCAAGGGACAGAGGGAGGTCAGCAGGAAGCCAGAAAGAGGAGGGTCGGTGGRGAGGAGAGAAGACCATGGAGGACATCAGGCAGCAATGCCTGAGGAGGGGACAGGGTGGGCTGACAAGCAGGGAGAGGAGTCCCCACCCAGAAGCCCAGCACCAGCCTGTGCTGGGACATGGAGCACTATGGCTCCTCCTTTGATGGATCCTCTTATTAAAGGCCTTCAAAACAGAYCCTGGGAGTGCCTCGTGGTCCATTTTACAGAGGGATTAGATTCCTATCGCTGCTATAACAAGTTACCCCCAACAGTAGTTTAGAACATAAACCTCTTCTCTTGTGGTTTTGGAGTCAAGAACTGGTAGGGCTCACTGAAGTGACCTCACAGAGCCCAAATCAAGGTTCYGGCAGGGCTTTGTTCCTTCTGGGGCTCAAGGAAGGCTCCACCTCCCAGCCTTTCTAGCCTGAGGCCTCCCTGTGCCCCTTGGGTCAGGGCCCCTGTCCACCTTCAGAGCAGGAGAGCAGGCTGTGCTGCACGCGGCTGTCTCTGCAGCTCCCAGCTCTGCCTCTGCTGCCGTTTCATGTTAAGGCCTCTGGTCACACAGGGCCTGGTCCATCTCCACGCCAGGCCAGTACTTCATAGTGCTCACCCATCTATACTTTAAAACCCCAGCTGTGTCAGGGACATTGGTGGGATCCAGGCACTGGGACCCGAGCACGGTGGGGTGAGAGACGTCCTTTTACTTGCTCGGGTCCACTGACTAGCCCCTGTTTGCACATGAGGTGGGTGACACTCTGGGTGTGGTCCTTCCTGGGCAAAGTCTCTCTGTGTGTGCTTTCTAGCCACAGAGGCAGGGCAGAGCCCAAGCAGCTGTACAGGTCCCTGTGGCTCATGGCTCTGCCCCTACATTCACACCCTGCCCTCTGACCCCCAGTCTCCCTGTTCCCCTGCACTGGGGAGTGAACTCAAGGGTGCTCTACCACTGAGCCGCACCCCAGCCCTTTCTGATTCCTAAGTTGTCCAGGGTGGCCTCCTACAGCAGACACCCAAGTGGCTAGGATCACCAGTGTGTGCCGYGACACCCACTAGCCCAGCTTTCTCTTAATGAAAAGCAGCAGGTCTGCTTTCCTTCGCTACTTCCTGGCTGCAGAACTCTGGGGGCCCAACAGGCTTTTATCTCACCCCGTCTCCCTGCTCTCAGGTCCAGCAGGCAAGGTTTCTGAGGACAGCACTTTCTCAGAACCTCATGGGTCTCTACCTCGACCATGTGGATTCACTCCAGGAGACCAGGGGCTTTCCATAGGCCCCTACAGACCACCTTTTCTCTATTTTAGCTTCTGCTTAGATGACCAAAGGTGTCTATTAGCCACCCACTTTGTATCTTCAAGAGCCCTCTGACCTTTCCATCTTTCTGAAGTACTAGCTAAAGCTCATCTGCTGCACCCTCAGCCCTTCCTTGGACAAATCTCCTCTGCGATTTGGCTAGGCTGTTGCGAGCTCCCTGCTGCTCAAGGGCTGCTGCCCGCGTGCCCTCCTTCCTCCTCAACTGCATGAGCGGCAAGATGGGACCTTGCTGCCGCCACCAGTCCATCTACTGAATGCCCAAGCTAGCTGTGTGCGGGTCCTGCTCTCCTCAGCAAGAAAGGACGGCTCAGCCGCGCCTTCCCCACGACAGGTCCCTTGCTCCTGGCCCTCCCAACAGCACCTCAAACACTGCTATTTCTGCTCAGAGAATGATCTCAGCAACTCTAAGTTCCCTCAGAGATGAACTGGCCCTTCTCCGTCACCTCCCTGACTCTGCCAACCATTTGCCCAGCAACTCTGGGCTTTATCATGCCCCGCGGAAGTCTTCCCATCTCTGCCTACTGCCCAATTCCAAAGCCGCTTCTGCAGTTCTCGGGGTCTGTTCTAGTAGTGCCTCACTCCTGGGACCAGAAACTGCCTTCGTTTTCTGYAGTTGTGGTTGCCACAAGTTTAGTGACTTCAAAGAAGACAAATTTGTTACCTTTTAGTTCTGCAAGCCAGAATACAAAACGAGTCTCATCAGGCTAAAATTGGKGTTTAAGATTGGCATGGCTGGTTCCTCCTGGAGGCTTGTGGGGACAGCTCATCTCCCCTTCCCAGCTTCCAGAGACGCTGAGCTGTGCCCCTTCCCCGCCTTGGCTCTTTATTTCAAGTAAGGACCTATTTTATGTGTAAGGATGCTCAGGATGACCTCGGCACACTGGGATAACTCAGGTCTCCCACCTCAAGGTCAGCCTGCAGCTTTCACTCGCTTTGCCACAGAAGCACTATGGAGTCGCAGGTTCTAGCAATCATGACGTAGACTCGGGAAAAAATTGTTCCACCTGCCAGGACAGATGAGAGAGAACCTGTGGGTACCTGCTGGGATTCAGTCTGGGCTTCTTCAATGTAGGGAGAACTGAGGGAGCTGTGTGCAGCCACCTTCCTGCAAGCAGGGAAGCTACGGCAGAGGCAGGAAGGCTTCCTCAAGGGCCCAGGTTTTGGACAGGACATGGCAGGTCTTGCAGCCAGAAGCCATCCAGGAGGCAGGGCGCACACTGCATTGCCCTGTCACCCTCAGAGGTGGCAGGAAACATCCTCTAAAGGGCTGGTCTAGCATTCATCCAGCTGCCCATCCCCTCCCAGGTGGGTGTGTGGCCAGGAGTCCTATAGCACCCTACTGAGTATCAGGACAAGATGCATTCTGGACACTTGCCTGTGGCTGTCCTGTGATGCTGGTGGAGATGTGTCACCCCTTCCTTCCAGGCCCCATCCTGCAGCTCCAGCCCCACCCTAGACAATCACAGAGCCCAGACGGTCCCCACCCACAGGCTCCTCTACCTCCACCAGCCCCCACTGGGCAGCCAGGCCATGTTCCTAAACACACTGACCCAGGCTGCAGGCCAGATGTGCTCCCTGCAGAGCTCATTCCAGAGCCCAGCTCCCCATGCCCAGTGACCTGGGAGCTGACTAGAGGACATTCCTGCTAGGCCAGCCTCCTCCCTCCTCTTGCCATCCCTCTCCTGGAGGTCCTGTGGCACCCTCAGCCACTGCAGGTGCTACCCCAGCTGTCAAGTTCTATGACGGGAGACATGATGAGTATCACCCAGGGTGCGAGGCTTGGACAGCCCAGTGGGCTCCATCCCTGGCACTGAGTCAGCAGGCTTGGGTTGAAAGTCCAGGCACTAGGGAGTCTAAAGTGACCCCAGCTGACCCTCCGTGCAGCTGATAGTCAAAATCACAGGGCAGGACCCATATGAGGAGGCAGGGGGGCCAGGATGTGAAGACCCTGGGGTGCCCCTGGACTTTCTGGGGAAATTTGGGGCTATCAGGTTGGGGGAAGCTCTCAAGGATGGGAGAAGGAGAGGCTGTCCCCAGAAAGCAACAAGGAAGCTGCTACCCAGGTTCAGAAAGCAGACAGGTGGGACTGGCCCAGATGGAGCTGAGAAGACCCCATGGGAAGCAGAGAGGGAGGGGGCTCTGGCCTCCAGTTCCTCTCCGGGGCTGGCCACGGCACAGAGCAAGTAGAGAAAGGGCCTATCARACACAGGCATGCTGCACAGGCTAGGCTGGAGGCCTTCCAGGACCCAGGCGGCCAACAATTTTGGGGTGTATGTGGAGACTGAACCTTCTAGGAATCCACCTCCAGGGCATTGTCCTCAGTCACCAGGCACAGCACGCCTGCCACTGGGGGGGGGGGGGGCCTGAGGTCCTGTGCTGGCCAGGCCCTGTCCCTGCCCTGGCTCTCTCCCTCCCCCACTCAGTTTCCAGACCAGCTCCAGGCTGTAGCTCAGGCCCCTGGCCCCACTTCTTCCCTAAGCCCTCTCATGTCTGCAGCCCTGAGCTCACAGCCCCAGACAGGAATGGCCCCCGCAGCAGAGCCCATGGCGCAGGCTGGCCAGGAATCCCTGAGACAACTACAGTCACATGAGAGGGTGCCTGTCCCTGCATGAGGATGACACAGGAGGTGATGTGGTCCCGGCAACCTGACACTGCCCCAGGACAAAGACAGGGCTGCCCACTGGGAGGGAGGAGCGACCAGGCTGAGGACACACTAGGCTCTGACCTGAGAGGATTCTTTTTATTAGGACTGCACAGATGAACTGAAGCGGATCTCTGCCTTCTGCTGACCGCCGCGTCTCCAAGCAGGGCCTGAGCCCTGTTGTGGCTCCGCCCTGGTACCTGCACATGGCAGGCCCTCCCTGCATCAGGGAGGCAGCAGGAAGGGATGACGGGAGCAAGCAGCAGGTAGGAGCCCTTGCAGATCGCCCCAGGCCTCCCATAGCTGGCTGACTCAGAGCCATCCACAGCCAGGATCCCAGCAAGGCCAGGGGTGGGGGATGGGGAGGGGTCTCTGTAAAAGTGAGCCCCACCCCCAAACAGAGCAGAAACTCAGGTATGCAAGCCAAGCCCCCGTGGAGGGGGATCCACCTACCACAAGGTGTTTCTTTCCAAGCAGTGGAGTCCCCCAAGGAGGGGCGAGGGGAGGGCGGGGCCGCACGGGAAGACCCAAGGGAGGAACACCCTGCAGAAGACTCAGCCCTCAGTCCAATAAATGCTTGTTGAATGCGTGAATGAATCCAAAGGCTCTCGGCTACCCACGGCACTCATCATCCAACAGGGGAGCAGGAAGTGCGCGGCCCAGCAGCAGCGTCTGTGGAGCCCACACTCGGGCGGCCTGGCCTCAGAGCTCACCACCAGCGTGTCTGGGCACGTGTGCGCACACGCAGACCCACGGTTGTCTCTTTGCACATGTGCACCCCTGTCCAGCCCTTGGGGCTCATCTCTCCTTCACGTGGTTCTGTGCCCCGGGGGCCCCACTGCTGGCCCCGTCCCCACCCCCACCGCCCCCACTGGGGCTGCTGCACAGCACCTCGGTGAGGTCGTCCAGCACGGCGGTCTCTTTGGGGTCGAGCAGGTTGAACTCCCTGGCGAAGAGGATGAAGTGGACGTACAGTGTGTTCAAGTGTCCGTGCAGCTCGAGCGCCAGGGTCTCCTTGAAGTGGGCCCAATAGATGTGGCCCAGCACGTGGAACAGGTACTTGCAGATCTTCTTCACCAGGGACTCGAAGGAGCTGGGGAATTCTCTGCCTAGGGGGGAGGCTGGGTGTCACAGGCCTGCAAGAGGCCAGGCTTCTGCATCCAGGTGGCCCGTCCAGCCTGGAGCACACGCACCTGCCGCCATTTCCTGGCTTGGACACCAGACAGCAGAAGTGGCAGGAGCTCAAGGGACACTCCGTCCTGAGCCCTCCCTGAAACTCGCGTGTGTCTGGAGTGGAGGGTGCTGGCCATTGTGTGGGCTGCCCCCATGCCACCCTGACCGGCACTCCAGGGCTGTCTACGTGGGCCAGGCTGCAGTGAGTGCTACCAGGCGCTGTCCCTCCGCAGCTCAGGATCATTTCCAAGTCCTTCTTGGGGGCCAAGAAGGGCCTGTTAGGGCCCCAGGTCCCGAGTGTGGAGGTGTGCTCAAGCCTTTCTGCCATGGGCGCAGCCTCACTCCACAGCCCAGGTCCCTCATGACAAAGGGGCAGGCCCCCAGCGGCTGCCCAGCCCGCCCCCAGCCCCCAGCCCCAGGAGCAGCACCGTGAGACGCACCGTATTTCGTGGGGAAGACGTCCTCGTCAGTCACCAGCTTCTGCACGGAGCTCATGACGAAGTCCACGTACTGCGGCGCCGTGCACTTCACCTTCTTGCCCCGCTCGTCATGCCAGCAGTACTGCCTGTGGGACAGAGGCCAGTCAGGACGCCTGCCTGGCCACAGAAAGAGCCAAGCCCAGCCTGACTGAATGCACAAGCGGGAAGCCCACTGTCTGYAGTGACGTGGGTTGTCTCTCTGTTAGGTGGACGTGCACCCCTGCTGGGAGGCAGCCTGGGACCTGGGATCTGCCAGGAGGCCCCCACCTTGGCAGTGTCCTGCTCCCACTGCTCAAAGCTACACCCTTCCCATAGAGCCAGTGGGTCTCCCGTCAGTGGCCTGAACCCTGGGCACCCACCCAAGCACCTCCCCATCCAGACATGGGTGGCCAGTCCTCCTGTGACTGCTAGCCCCAGTAGGCCAGGGCCTGCAACAAGGACCYGCCGGTGCACAGCCCACTCATGCAGCCACCGTGGGCCTCACGGCACTCACACTCCACACGGGAGCCCGTGCTGCCTTCAAAGCACACGGCTGCCCTGGGGGCCACTCCGGGAGCAAGGGCCAGGGAAGGAATCACACAGGCTTCTCACTCCACACCAGTCATGGGGACAGATTGGGGTTGTCACTGCTGAGATGGGTCCCCAGGTGTGTGGCCCACAGCCTGTTCATCCACTTGCCAGCTGGGGGCGATCTGGGTTCTTCCCAGGTTAGGGCACTTGAGGACCCCTTAAGCGGCACAGCTCGACCCCTTATGCTGTGCGTCCTCCGAGCACTTGGCGTGCACAGGTGTGCTGCATACGTGGCAGGACCTCGTCCTGGCTCTGAGTGGACCTCTCTGGCTGCTTCTGGCGGTGGTGAGCTGTGCCTGAGCCCTCTGCCCGAAATGTCATGGGCCATGTTCCCAAGCACTGGGACCTCTTGTTAGGCTAGGGACTCTGTCCTTCAGCAGTGGGTGGCTCCCGATCGCACTTGTACACGAGGCTCTCCCACCCTGTAGTTTCTTTTCTCTCTAGGAGCAGAAGTCCATGTTCTTCATGAAGTCCCTGGTATGGGGTTGTCCACCAGCGGATGGTGCTCTGCTGTCAAGTCTGTGAGCTCTCTWACACCTTCTTCTGAAACTCTCCTAAGTGCCCAGTGTTCTCTGAGGAGCGTGCAAGGTCCAGGTGGTGCTCTGTTCCTTTCTCTCCCTGCTGCTGAATTTACTTGGCATACTGTCAGTACAGGCCAGTGCAAGTGCCTTCTGCACTCTGCTCTAACCCTGCGCTGAGTATATGTCCCTTAGCCAACACCACTCTGTCTTAACTGGTTTGACAGTGGTTTTGCAGTAAATCCTAACACTGGGGACTTCACCAGCTTCACTCTAGTTTTGGAATCACAGCTGTTGTAGTTACTGTGCCATCCATGCACATTTCAGAGTTAGCTGGACCAAAGCCACAGACTAGGGCTGCACTAACCTGAAAGGCCTATGTGGAGGGCAGCTGGCACCCTCGCGTGCTGGCGCACAAGCAAGTCCCTCCACCCATGCAGGCCACCTGAGATCTGCTTYTGCAGTGTACCCCACAGTCACAGACCCTGCACATGCCAAGTTCATACCTCAGAATGGCACAGTTTTGGGAGCTGCTGTGGGTGGTACTGCTTGATTTAGGTTCCAACTGCGCATTGCTAGCACATAGAACTGTTTGTTTGCTTTGCCTGTTGACCTTACTGGATTTATTTTTTGCTTGAACCCTGAGGTTTTCACGATTGTGTTCTGCACAAATGTGGACCTTTCGTCTCTTCTTGTCTTGCTTATCTTAGGAGATGTATGACTCATGCACAGAAGATGTTTTGCAGTGTCTTCTACTGTCTTCCAGGGTCTTTGCAGTGACAGCGCCACTTGTCCCTCCTACCCAGCATTCGCCTCTCTCATCTTCCTTGCCAGGGGCATATCAATTCTACTGACCTTTCCCAGAACCACATTTTGGTTTCATTGCTTTTCCCTGTTGTTATTCCTGAGTCGATTCTGGTGATTTCTGCTCTTATTTCTTTTCCTCTGCTCAATTTGGGTTGCTTTTGCTCTTTTTCTAGTTTTTAAGATTGAAACTTATCAATTTGAGATCTTCCTTCTCTTTCTGAAATAAACACGGAGTCCTATAAATGTCCCTCTCGGCCTTGATGTGGCTGTGTCCCACAAATCCTAGTATTTTGTGTTCAATTCAAATAGCTTCTAATTTCCCTGGAGACTTCCTGCCTGACTTCCAGTGTCCGTGGATTTTCCTGTCTCCTGTTACTGATTTCGAGTTTCCCTACACTGCGTGTGGACACCTTCCTTAGCATTACTAGACTCTTCAGGACATGTCAAGGGCTCTCCCGTGGGAAGGACATCATCTATTTTGATGGCTCCCTGTGAACGTGACGCTGCCCTRGCTGGAGTGTCCTCAACCACTGCTGCACTCTGCGCTCCAGCAGCTGAGACCCCCGCACTGGCGGCCTCTGGCCTCTGGCCTCTGCTGCGGCTCTGCAGGCTTAGTGCCCAGCCCATCCTTTCTGCTCGAGGAGCTGACCGTTCTCTAGCACGTGACCGTCGCCCCAGCGGCGGCCTTGCTGTCTCTGCTGGCTCAAACACAGCCACTTCGGCTGCTATCTGGGTGGCATCTCCTTGGCTTGTCCCGATGTCACCACACTTAAAGTGATGCTGTGGCCAGGCACAATGGCACAGGCCTGTAATCCCAGCAACTCAGGAGGCTGAGGCAGGAGGAGCGCAAGTTCTGAGCCAGTCTCAGTGACTTAGGCCCTCAGCAACTTCAGTGAAACCCTGTCTCAAAACAAGAAATAAAAACCACTGGGGACAAGGCTCCATGGGAGAGTACCCTTGGTTCAATCCCCAGCACCAGACAGACACAGTGATGCTGTAGTCTGAATGTGTGTGTCCCCCAAACGTGTTGAAGCCTCACCCCAACTTAACAGTGTTAGGAGATGGGCCTCTGGGAGGTGATCAGGCCCCTGCAAGGGGACCTGTGCTCTTATAAAATGAAAGGCCCAGAGCACCTCACAAAAAGGTACCACCTATGAACCAAGATGCCCTCACCATATGCCAGATCTCTGTCCCTTGACCTGGAATTCCGGCCCCAAAGCTGTGAAGAACAAACATCTGTGTGTTCAGAAGCTGTCTGTTTGAGCATCCGTCACAGCAGCCAGACGGAGAGACCAAGGCTGCAAGTCTGCCCTCATCAGGCAAGTCTGCGGCCACCGTGTGCCCATGCTTCCTTCCCACTCTGCCTCTGTTCCCACAGGGCGTGTCAGGGATGTGGACTTCGGGGTGGCCCTTCTCCCCTTCACACTGGTGATGTATGGAGCCCCCCCACCCAGCTCCCCAGGCCCACGGCACTGCACCATCCTCTCCTCTGGGCCAGCACACTGCTTCACAGGTCAGTCCTGGGGGGCTCACCCTGCTCCTTGAATCCAGAGGTCTGTCCTGTGGGAACCTCTGAGTCATGGCCTCTGCACATCGTAAGTCCACTTTCTCTCCTCCCCCTTGGATCCCAACAAGCCTTTTGTGGGACAGGTGCCAATAGGATAATGAGCTGCCCCAACCTGGCATATGCCCTCCCGTGACCCAAGCATAACTGCTGGCCTAGAGGACAGCAAGGGGCTCTGTGAATCCTTGACCAACCTCCCTTTTCCTTTTAAGTTTCCATTCCTTGGTCTTAAAACGTCCGTAGGAAGGGATTACAGGAACATTAATTAATATACAACAAACCCATAGAGGAGGGTTCACACAAGAACAGGGAGGAGGGACTAGGACTGTAGCTCAGCGGTAGAGCACCTGCTTTGCACGTGTGAGGCACTGGGTTCAATCCTCAGCACCACATAAAAATAAGTAAAGATATTTTTTTAAAAATTAAAAAAAAAAAAAAAAAAGAACAGGGAGGAGAGCTTCAGCTGCCCTGGCTCTCCAAGGCACACTGGACACGGTGGAATGCAGGCCTAGATGCCGGTCAACCCAACACYAAACCCTACATGCTTTCAAGAGGCTTGATAAAATCAAATCCCATACAAAGGGCATGAGGGTGCAGAGAAGCTGGGAGGTGCTGAGTTAGCCTGCACAGGGCACCCAGGGCACCTAGGGCACCGCCTGGCTGCAGGCGTCCTCCTCAGCCAGGCTGGACACACACTTTCAAGTGCTGCCTTCACTGCCATCAGGGTCTGTCAYGGGGATGGTCCCTCAGAGGCCAGCTCTGCCTCACCTGTGCCAAGCCCACTCTCAGCAGACTGTGTGGAGCTGTGCCATCTTCCCCAAGTGATGCCCAGCTGGAACACCTGATTCTCCTGGGCAAACGGGGTGGAGAGCCACATGCTGCCTACACCCACCAGTGCCACGTAAGCAGGCCCAGCAAGCCGAGGCCTGGGAACACCTACCACCTGCCATGCAGAGGCTTCTGGTGGGTTCCCAAGAGTGAGCTCAGCTTTGATAGGGACTTCTTCCTGTGACAGGAGCCTAGAAAGCTGTATCCTTAGGCAGGAGGACTTTCAGGATGGCATGCATGCACACACGCTCACGTGTGTCGGCACCTGTCCTGAGCTGCAGCATCCTGATGACGAGGAGACATCAGAACCACCACTTGACTTGGCTATACCACTCCTCAGAATGTGCCCAAAGGACTTTAAATCAGCCAATTCACAAAAGCTAAGCTACAGAACCAACCTAGGTGCCCTTCAACAGATGAATGGATAAAGAAACTGTGGTATATATACACAACAGAATACTACTCAGCCATAAAGGAGAATGAATCATGGCATTTGCCAGTAAATGGGCGGAACTGGAGATTATCATTCTAAGTGAAATACGCCAATCCCAAAAAACCAAAGGCCAAATGTTCTCTCTGATATTTGGATACTCTGATATTTGTGCTAACCCACAGTAAGGGGGCAGATAGAAGTTCATGGGAATAGACAAGTAAATGAAGGGAAGGGGGAATGGGAATAGGAAAGACAGTAGAATGAACTGGCCATCACTTTCCTGTGCTCATATACGAGTACACGACCAGAGAAACTCCACATCATATACAACCACAGGAATGGGATCCGAATTAGAATAACTCACACTCCATGTCTCTGTGTCAGAACACACACTCTCCTGTCATGTATGTCTGAAAAGAACACAACAAAACAGAACGAGACCCTGAACCTCTTCACTGCACCAGCCCCAAGCTGAAGCCTGCAGAGGGGCCTTCTGGCTCTGGCCACTCCTACCCCAGCAAAGCACCCCGTGCAGGCGAGGGCCTCAGGGACATCCGCCTGCTGTGGAGCTGAACATACACGTGCTTCCCGAAGAGGGCAGAAAGGGGCAGCCAGCATGGGGCTGTCTGAAAGCCACCAAGAGGGTGTCCCAGGCCCAACCAACCCAGCCTGCTCACTCCAGCCCTGGCGCCCGTCTCAGGACACCGACAGCTCTGAGGAGGAGCCCTCCCAGTGCTCCACAGCCCCAGGGAGCCACATCTGGGTGATCCCTTTGGAACTCTCCCTGCCTGTTAGCCTCAGTAGCTGCGGGCACCTCCTGTGCTCCAACAGGGCCCCTCAAGGCCAGGCCAGAGGCTCCTTAGGGACAGGATGGTGTGGAAGAAGGCCCAGCCTGAGACTCTGCAAAGGCTCCAGGTGTGGACCAAGTCTGAGAAGCCAGGAGCCTGGGTGAAAAGGCAGCAACACCCACCCTGTGCCCCCGGGAGGGGCTGTGCCAGGCCATCACTCACGTGTTACACACGGCCATTGTCTGACACGTCTCTCCTGTGCAGAACTCCGAGATTGTGCTATACTGCAGGTTGATGTGGTGGAAAAATGTCGTTGCTGGAAGAGATGGAAAGGACGGGTGAGAACACGCCCCTGCTTCCAGCTCATGTGTGCATGGCTCAGCCAGGGAGCTCAGGCTGTGCAGGGCCCCATCCTCCCACAGCCTCCCCAGCAGGTGGACTGCTGAGACCTGCTTGGGCACACTCCAGGATGCCCATGGAGGGGGAGAGGAGATGCCCTCCCCACCACTGTGGCCCTCCCCACTGGCCTGCACGCACTGTTGCTGGCCAGCCACTCATTGAGGTCGATCTCCCGGGGCAGCACCACAAGCTCCTTGAAGGCGAAGTCGGTGATTCTAGACTTGGTGTGCTCTGGCTCCAGGTACACCTTCTTCTCCTCTGCGGCAGGCTTCTTGCCGTTGGGCTTTGCTTTAGACTTCCTGCCAACAGAAAGAGGGCAGTGTGGTCACCGCCTGCCCCCCTGGACCAGACCACCAGGGCCTCATGCAGACACAGGCAGTGGGGAGGCTGCCAACACCTAAACCTGCAGAGGGACCCAACCCTCTGCCAGAGCCGGCAGGATTGGAGGCCATGGCTACAGGTGGGAAGTGTCCTACATGTGCCTGCCCTGGCCCCCATCCTCAGGGAGCTCTGGCCTGGCTTACAGGGGCACCAGGCCTCTGATTGGTTGGAGGCTAGAGCCCAGGGCAGGCAAGTGGTAGCCACGTGAGCACTGGTTGCCTTTCTGGGGCTGTGACCACAACCCTACACTATCCTGTGCAGCCTCACTGTGCACCCTTGGGGTATCTGTGTCCCTCTACAGTCAACCTCACTATACCTGTGTCCCCTGGGACCACACTCACTGAGCCTGTGTCCCCCTGTAGCCACACTGAGTCTCACTGTGTACTCATTTTGAGATTTCAGAGGGTACATGCCTCAGGGGTAGGGCAACCTTACCCCATGTAATAGAAACCCTGCTGCTGGGCACCCCAAGAGTGCAAAATGGGCTTGGGCAGACAGTGTCAGCAGCATCCTTCATTCCTTCCTGTCACAATCTCCAGGTGGCTGCTGGACAGCATGCACAGGAGACAGCCTCTCTAACCTTAGTGTCCCTGGTGTGCCCAGCCAGGACACTCCCACCTGCAACCTGCACCAAGTCCCCGGAGAGGCACATGTAGGGTGTCCACAGGTCAAGGTAAGGTAGAGGTGGTGGGGGAGCCCGGCCTCTCCAGGACCCCCAGAGACTCCTAAGCTTCTCCCACGAAAAAGATTTTTTTTTTTTTAATGAAAATGTGCTGCTATGTTAACACACAGTAGGCTTGTTATGGCCATTTTAATTTTTAAAAATTTTTTTTTCAGTTGTAGATGGATACAATACCTGTATTTATTTATCTTTATGCAGTGCTGAGGATCAAACCCAGGGCCTCACATGTGCTAGGTGAGTGCTCTACCACTGAGCCATATCCCATGGCTATTTTTAAATGAATAAATACATCTTAAAAGTATCTTGCTTTCATTTGAACTGGGTAAACTTCAGCATCCAAGCCACCATGCAGAGCATGCTCAGGTCCTGCAGATGGTCACCTCCTCCAGACCAGCTGCTCCAGTAAACGYTGTGGCAGCACTGAGCCTGCACACCAGAGGCTTTTCCACCCACAAGCTTCTAAGAGGCACTGAGATGGGGTGCTCCTACCAGACTGCCCTGTTGGCTGGGAACGCCTGGCCCAAGTTCTCAGCCTCTAAGGCCAGCCAGGAGACTCCTCTGACAGAGTCTCTCTCTGTCATGTGGCAAAGTCGGCCTGGGCAAAAATGTGACTCGGAGCAAAGAGCTTTTACTTGAAGCCTCCACACTGCTCTCCCCAAGGTGGCTGCTGAAGGGCCCAACAGATGCTCCAGCTGGCCCACCAGCCTCGCCCTGCAGCGAGGAGATAAGACCTTCTGAGCAGGCGCCGCCTAATATTAAGCCATGGCAGGCAGGAGTGGCTCTCGGTGGTGGCAGCAAGGGACCAGGCTGTAACTGCTGGCAGTATCTGCATGAGGCTCTCTGACATCTTAGGGCTCCCAGTGGGGCTCCTGGGAGCGAAGCCTGAGAGCCTGCGGGGAACCCCTCCAGCCTGGCCTCAGGTTCTCATCTGAACAACTGAATTCTTCAATGGTACACAGGATTGTGAAAAAACAGTGTTAGTTAATTTTGTCATGAAGCCTTTGTGACCAAAAAAAGGGAGGTGCCGAGGCTCCACTGAAGAGATGAAGGGATAAGGGTAAGCACCCAGTTTGCCCTTCCCCCAGTGACGCCACCTGCTGCAAGGAGCACAGGTGCTGATCAGGGGCCAAAGTGGGCCAGAGAAGTAAGGGGAGGTGCAGACCCTGCCAGAAGGGGCTGGTCCCAGAAGGTGCCTCTTTGGAAGAACCACCTGCTCCATGGGGTGGGGTGGGGTGGGGGTGCGGGGAGCTCTGGGCTGCCCTGGGGGAAGAGCAGTGTGCTAATACATGACCACCATGGAGTGGCAGGGAGGTGAAGGTGGTCCTGGCCTCCGTCCCTAGCATGCCTCTCTGGGTTGCTGGTGCCCCTGAAAGGAAAGAAGGCACCAACCTGACCCTGGCTTCTCCTGAGGTAGACAGCCAGCTGCTGCCCCTAGCTGTTCAAGAAGAGATGTAGCACAGAAGTCAGGCCGGGCATGGGCTGGGCACCTGCCTTCCCGCCCATCCCAAGGACACAGCATTCCGACCAAGCAGGGCATGTGGTCCTGGGAGGCCACATGGGAGGTGAAAGGTCTTTGTAACTCTCTGACCAGGTCCTATTTTTTTCCCTTGTATTTTGAAAGATTGCTGATGGTTTACTTAAGAGAAAGAGGAAAGAAAAATGTTCCCTGGATGCCAGGGAAATGTTTTCCTTTTGGCTTCTCACGGCAGATCTTCGCCTTAAAAGGCGACTGAGCTTGGCCTCCAGGGCAGAGCTGGGAGTGGCCAGAGCCAGGCAGGGGACAGGACGGGGCCCTGGGGCTCCTGACACACAGCAAGCTCTGAGAGCGCACTCAGGGGTCTGCTGGGCTGAGGCACAAGTGTGAATGCACTACACACAGTGAGGCCACCTCAAAGTTCCTGGCAAGAGCTTCTGGGCCCCACAGCTCTGCCCTGACATAGTCAGCTTCCAGTCCTTCCCGGAGCTGCTGACCAGGACAAGTCCAGGAGGCGCTCTGCAGAGATCCTCAGGACACTTCCATTCCCTATCCCCAGTAATTCTTTGATCCCCGCTCTTTGACCACCAACATGAGCTGGGTTCATGCAGCAATCAAAAAGCTGAGACCAGCCTAGAATACAATGCTGGGCACGTGAGCCCAGCCTCATGCCAGCAGGGTGGATTCTCTGCAGGACCCAGGGGCCAGCCCGCACTGTCACCAAACTGACCTTCATCTCCTACACACCTTGCTCTGCAGGCTAGTCCCRCTTGGGCCAGTGACACATGCTGAGCCCAGCTCCCATCGGGGGACCACAACTGCAAGGCCAGGTGGGCTGCAGTGGGGCCAGGCTGCCACCAATCTCCTTGTTTTGTGGCTTAAGAACTGTCCCCTGTGAGCTACAGGGAGTGGGATGGGCGACTAGGCAGAAGGAACCAGGGCTTCAAGGTTTCAGGGCTTCAGATGTCCCTCTGGGGACCCCTCGGGGAGGCTACCCTATGGACAACATCCTGTGCTCACACCTCACACTGTTACAAAGRCTGGGACAGGCCCCAGAACCAAGGCCAGCCTCTACCTGGGTTCTCAGAGGGGTCAGGCAAGGGCAGTGCCTGCCTGAAGGATCTGGCTCCCTGTGAGGGGCCACAGAGGCTGCGGGCTGTGGCTGGAGAGCAGCAGGCAGGCCTGTGCTGGGCACTGGCATACTTCCACTGGAACCTGCCCTTCCAGACCAAACAGGCCAGTGCAATACCACGTCTGAAGCTCTTCTCAGTTTCATGGTCCCCATTACCCAAGACCGGCCAGAGATGCCCAGAGCCCAGTACACAACTCTCCTGCCAGCCCAAGCTTCTCTAGATCCTCATCACAGGGCTCACTTGGTTCCATAGGACAGGACCAAGGGGACACATAGGGCCCAGACTCAGCCTGAGGAAGGAATCTGCAAGTATGGATGACGGGGCCTCCACAGGACAGTCAAGCATGCCCAGGCCCAACCTGCCTTTCTTCCCTGGGCTTAGCCAGGTTCCTCTGACCTAGTCCTGGGTGCTCTGCCCAGAGCCTCTGTTCTCCTGGGTGGTCTTGGCAGACAGGAGACTCTCCCACCCCGCGGTGGGCTGAGGTTGGGCCCTCTGGTCAGGTGCCACCCTCTTTAAATATGCCCTGGCCCTACCAGAGTCACCTTCTTCCTGCTTCCCACACACCTGCCTTCATCACTGCTTGTCCTCCACGACACCAGGGTCTGGGCGCCCCACCTGCAGCACCAGCCCACACAGCAACCTCTCCTGGGGGCCTCTAAGACCCCAACAAACATCACCCCAATTCTTGCCAGCCACTCGCCCGTGCTGTACGCCCAGCCTTCCTGCACCTGGCATGTACTGCTGCCACTATGGGGCACCCTCACTGGCACACCCACTGGCTAAGGAGCAGCAGGAGCTGGCAGTTTCTAACAACAAAACGAATCTTCACGGCGTCTGTGTGACAGGCAGGGGCCAGGCACAGAGCCAGTGCAGCTAGAGTGGCATGGGGCACGGGTGGGTGCTGGAGCAGCATGCTGCCCAAAGTGCTAGTCTGAAACTCCCCCTCTGGCCTGGAGCTGGGCCACCTGCAGACTCAACATAAGTCCCCATTCTGAGCACCACACTCTGTCTTCCTCAGCCTCTGACCGCACAGTGTTGGGACATTAAGGTTCTCTGAGAGATAAGCACAGGTGGATCTAGGGAGTGGGTGTGGGAACCYGAGAGGGTGGAGGCCCTGAGGGGGTGGCAGCAACCCAGGAGGTTGGAGGCCTAGGGATCGCAGAGATCAGGTCAAGCAGGTCCCTTACGGGGTACTTCAAAAAAGCAGGAACTGGGCAGGGGTGGGCTCTAGCAGCTGGAGGGAAAGTGGGAAGGGTGCCTGCCTTACCAAACCTGCTGCTTGTCCCGACCCACATAGCTCAATGTTGTGGGGGCAGGGGTGGGTGCAGAAGGTTGGGGAGTGCAAGTTCTGGAGCTCAGTCCAAGAAACACTACTGCTAGAGGATGACAAGAGGAGGGCATAGTGTGTGCCATCTCAGAGTCTTGCCCTCCCCACAGACAAGTGCAAGGTGAGGCCCTGAGGTGGCCTTTCCTACCATCAGGCCAGGTAGACCATCCCTCCCGTAAGGAGCCAACCACTCTCAGGCTCCTCCTGATAGCCCAACAGACACCCAGGGGAAGGGTGCCCATTCTCCACCCAGCTTCCCCGGGTCTCAGTGGGGTCTGTAAACTATGTTTCTAACCAGGAGGTGCCCCCCCCACACACCTGAACATTATCGCTGCAGGCCCAACACCCCCCACCACTGCCTCAGAGGTCCTCCTGGCCCATCCAATTCCTCCCTGCACCTGCACCTGCACCTGCAAAAGGGACCGTGAGCTCTCTTCCAGCAGGCAGGCTGGCACCCCAGGCAGGTGCGCTTCTAGTAGCCTATTAGGTCTGGACACAGAAAGAGACCCATCCACTGGAAATGCCCAGATACCTCAGCCAACGTGTCCGGGAGAGTCAGGTGCCCSCTGTGGCCCACGAAGCCACAGTGCTCGAGTGCACAGCACTGCCACACCCCTGCCTATTAAGGAGGCTCCTGGGTAGGGCCTGGCTAAGTCGCCCCCTTTCAAGGAGACTTCCCSCAGTGAAGTCCCCTCTGCCATGACTTCCCAGGTGGCTATGAGGAAGATGAAGCGGCTCCATCTTCCCTGGCTCTCACCTAGCATCTGCTCCCACTATACACCTGTGGACATCCGTGTGCAGTCTTCCAAATGCCACTGATGTCAGCCACTAATCCAGATTGGAACTAGCTATGTCACCAACTTGCCCAAACATTTCCAAAACCTCACATTTTCACATTAAAATCAGACAGCTCACTCTCTACCTTCCACTTACTCCCACTGTGACGCCCTCCCTGCAATGATGGACAGGTGGTCAGGTTGTAGCCAAGAAAAGAGCCAGCGGTGCCTGCAGACAGCTGGACACAGGAGCCACGTGCCTGAGAACTCTCGCTACCACCTGATAGACACCACCAGCAGGCGCAGTCCCCTCAGCCTCAGTGGGGCCCTGAGCCCGGTTTCACTGGTTACAATGAAACCCACACTGGAATCAAAAGGCGTCTGCTTTCATTTTAAACGATGACCTATTGAGACAACAGGCAAACCTGGGAAGGAAACCTGACACATCCTAGAAACTGTAGCCAGGTGCAGAACTCACACCAACACACTCATACACTAACTAATGCACATGTACACCCACACACCAGGCTGGTCGGAGGTCAGAAAAATGTCAGAAACAACACTTCTGGCAATAACTCCTTCAGTAGCCAACTTCCCACAGACTCCCGGGGTGCCCCACATCACTTCTCTGGACCAGGATACTCAAGGACAGGCTGTGGGGTCACTCCTGCTTCAGACAGCCCAAGTCCCTGCCCAGGGGCCAGTCACTGGAAGCAACAACAGGCTAGACACACCTGCTGGTGGTGAGAGGCACCTGCTGTCCAGAAACATCTGGAGGGGACCAGGCAGGAGTCAGATGCCACAAGCCCTGAGAGACTGAGCCAGTATAGCGGGCACTAGGGTAAGCTCCCTCCTATGGTTCAAGGCAAGGCTACCTGCAGGGCAGCAGGAAGCACAGGCAGTTAAGGGGAACCTTACTGGGGAGGCTGCTCTGGTCCTTGGCTRTCCCACCTTTGGGACAGCACAGGGGCTCGCAGCTGCTTTGCCTGGAGGCAGCTGAGGCCAGGCCAGCGGCCCCAGATGGACCTCTGTGGGAAGGCGATTACCTGAGCACTCTGCTGACTGCCTGAAGTACCATTTTGCAGCGGAGTCCAGTTTTGGGGGGCTGGCTGAGCAGAGCTCGGTCTGTGGGGAGACTGCAGTGATCTCTGAGCATGATGAAGGAGAGCCGGAGCTGGGAGGAAAAATAGGGCCCAGGCCTGTTGCTCCAGGCTCCCYCCCTCGGAAGTGCCCTCCGCCCTCGCTCTGGGCCAATGAGGAGGCCTGCAGAAACAAACAGTTGTTCCCTCAACAGAGTAAAAGGCTGCCAGGGCTAGCCAAATGGGAAACAGGGAGGGCCTGAATTGCCTTTTCAAAGTATGCAGAGCTGGCTGGCAAGGCGGAGCCAAGCARGGCCAGAGGAGGGGACAGGGCAGTCCCCAGTCACAGTAAGGGCCCTCCAATGCTACCTAAGGTTGATGCAGCCCTAGCCTGCCCACTGCCCACTGAGCCAAGCCAAGAAACCAGCAGGCAGGTGGGGACCCTCCTGCTGGTTTCTTGGCTTGGTTCAGCAAGACTCAAGCCAGGGACAGGCATCTGCAGAGTGAACATGAGACCCTCACTCTAGGTATGGTGGGTGCTAGGGCAAGGGTCTCTGGGTCAGACAGACTGGCTCCTGAGGTGTCTGGAGGGCACTGACCTGGCTCTGGGCAGGGGCTACTCCTGCAACAATGGATGGTCAGCCATGACCACCACCACCAAGGGCCAGAATCTACAAAAATGTCCAGGATGCTTTCCTACCAAGGCTTGAGAAGTTGTGTGGCCAGGGCCTTCTTTACGGCTAGTCTGCATATAGAAACAGCCAAGTCCTGAAAATCACACCCCAGGAACAACTCTCCCACTCATTCTCAGACTGGGCCCCAGGCAGCAACAGTATGGCCCACAGGAGCTCACAGGAGCTCCACCCGGTGAACCCCGACACCCTGCCCCAGCCTCCCAATGGGCAGAGCCCCTCTGGGGCAGATGGCAGGTGGTGTCGGGCTGACGGCATGCAGAGCCACCTGGGAAGCAGCAGAGGGAGGTGAGGGAGGCAGGCTCACACCCAACAGCCAGGAGGGCTCTGACCCAGTGGTCCTGCATTTCCACCAGAGCAAGTGCAGGGCCACACGCAGACCCAGCCTCGCACTCTCCAGGAACCGCAAGGAGGACTTCCCGGGCTGGCTCCCTTCTCCATCACGTGGCAGCTGTTCCCAGGCCACCAGCAGCAACAAAAGCACCTGGGAGGGCACAGAGCTATGCACCATCCACTGAGAGGTGCTCCCTCTGTCCTAGTGTGGGCATCCTGGGTCCTGTGGCGCCACACTTGTGCCAGTCTGTTTGCCAAGGCAGCACCACTAGCTGTGAGGGGACAGTAGACAGGCAACAGGGGGACACACACATATGGCAAAAGGGGGCTGGAAGGTGGGAGACCAGGAGGTGCATGATGTGGACTTGGAGCTGGCAGGGAGCAAAGGCTACGTGGAGGAGGGAGGACTGCCTGAGGCGGGCTCAGGTTGGGAGGGTGACTGAGGCACACTGGCTGGTGAACAGCAGAAGCTGCCATGAGGGTGATGGTGACAGGGAGACACAAGGCATGGGTGAGGGGCATCCATCCAAAGCCAAGCTACAGACTACAGACAACACAGGGCGAGGGGCATGGGACCCCTAAAGTGCAAGGTACAGCCCAGTGAGTCTCAGGAATGCCACGGCAGCTCCTGAGAGCAGCAGCCAGGGTGCACAGGTGCTGCCAGAGGGTCCCTGTTTCTTCCTTGCAGTGTAGAGAGCAGGAGCTATGCCCACCCAAGTTGGGGCAACCAGAAGACTAAAAACTGGATAACCAGAGGGCCCAGCCAAGAAGATGAGCACACTTGGCCAGGCGGGGCTGCTCAGGCACTGGTGTGGTTTGGCCTTTTCCCCTAGAAAAGGTGTAGCCCCAGCACCCTCAAGGCAAAGCCAGCCAAGGAGCATACTGGAAGCAGAGAGCACAGATCAGGGTGGACAAGAGCAGGCTGGATTAACACTGGTAGGGCAGGACACACAGAGCCATGAGCTTGCATATGTGCAAGTATTTTATTTGTAATCAGCTTATAGTTTCAGAACAGATTTAGATTTGCAGAAAATTTGTAAAGATAGAGGACAGAATCTCCAGGTAACCCCTTATACCGCCATTGTGCATTTTTTTAAAATGAAGAAAGTCAACATGGATACATTGTTACTAGCTAAAGTCAATGTTGAGACATTGTTACTAGCTAAGCCCACAGCTGACTCACATTCCCTCCATTTCCCTCTGGACCCTTTTCTGTCCCAGGACCCACCTGACATGTGGTCCTGCCTCCTGGGGCTCCTGTTGGTTAGGAGAATTCATTTTTTATGGATGACCTGAGCAGTTTTGAGGAGGACTGGTCAAGGGCACCACGGGGAACCCCTGAGTTGAATTTGCCTGGCACTTTCTCAGAGCTAGACGGAGGCTGTGGTTTTGGGGAGAACCCTAGAGAAAAAGTGCCCTTCTCGTTACCCCCATGCAGGGTCCCCACTGTCAACACTTCTCAGTACTGTGACGCTGCCCCTGACCTGGCTGAGGTCAGTCTGTTAGGTTTCCACTGTAAAGCGACTTTCCCCTTCTGGGAAGGAGGTGGCACTGGAGAGCCACAGGTAAGGGTGGGAGTCACACCTCACGGCTGACTCCCTTGGAGTTCTCCCCACATACAAACTTGGCTGYAGGTGGAGGCACAGGTGTTGGTCTTGCACTCGCTGGGATGCAAGGCCCGGGAGCTCTCCAGCGGGTCCCCGAGCCCCAGACTGTGAGTGTGGTGTGGGCCCTCCCTCACCCTCTGGCAGTACAGGGAGCTCAGGCTCATCCTGGATGCTCCCTGCCCCAGCCCTGACATCAGCCCCTTCTTGAAGGAGTCCTGGTTCCTTTACTGCAGAATATTAAAAACTGAGATCCCATCATGGCGTGTGTGTGTGTGTGTGTGTGTGTGTGTTTGTGTGTGTGTGTACACATGCGTGTACACACACCTACTGCTGAACCTCCCTCTGAGTGAACACCTGCATCTACTGTGTGTTAAGCCAGAGGTTCACCTTGACGTCCCCAGCTTGGGCCCATCACTGCAAGGGTCATTTCAACCCTACCCCCACCCCCACCCCCACCCCAGGAAGAGCTATCTGGGAGAGCCACATGCTTTCCAATCATGGTGTAAAACAAGAGGTGGGCTTGAGAACTGTGGAGGCAGCAAGTGCCCACAGGCACAAGAGAGGTCAGCCATTCCAGTGTGTAGGAGACATTCCAGTTTATATTTGAAGTAAAGGCTTAAAACTAATGACCAACATGGCCACCATGAGAAGCTAAAGTAAGTAAGTATGGTGTTGTGGTCACCTGTCACCCAGCAACTCAGGAGGCTGAGGCAGGAGGATGGCAAGTTCAAGGCCAGCCTCGGCAACTTAGTAAGAACTATTTCAAAATAAAATTTAAAAGGGCTGGGGAATTTAACTTAGTGGTAGAGCACTTGTCTGGCATGTGAGAAGTCCTGAGTTCAGTTCTCAGTTCAAAAACTAAATAGCAGCAGCAGCCRCTGCTGAGGAAAATATGCACATCAAATACAAAGTAAGTGAGAGGAAACAAAGGGCAGAMATCCTCAAAGCAATGATGAAGAATTACATTCAAAGTCAGCCCTGACCGCTGCAAAGCCAATGTGCCAGCGAGAGAAGTGGAGCGGGGAGGGGGGGGGGGCTGGGACCGAACATGAACTCCCACATCAGATGTTCAAGGGGACAGGACTAGGACCCTACAGGCAGTAAGAGGGTAACAGGCACCACAGGTAATCAGAGGCTGACAGGAAGTGGGATGCAGAGAGGCCCCTCACAGGCTGAGTAACCAGTAGAAGGGTCAACCTTAGGCTAAAAAGCTTCCTGGAGTGAAGAAGCCAGGTGTAGGGTCTGCCRAACAAAGCCTGCCAAGTGCATCAGGAAGGGACACACGCTCTCAGGAAGGAGAGGACCAGCAGGACCTCTGGGCAAAGGCAGGTATCGCAAGACAGCTGCAGAGCAGCAGCTTCAGGACAGAGGTGCAGACCCCACCACAGGACACCCACAAGCTCACTGCCAACACACCAGAACCATGCTGTGGCACGAGCTGGGCCACGTCTGGAGTCAGCCTGTGTGACTCACCACAGTAGTGGAAGAGAAAACAAAACAGGACCATCCCAGTTCTATCAAAAATAAATAAAACAAGGTGCAGAAGGACTGCGTGGCAAAATACTCAGCGTCAACCTCTGGCAAGCCAGGAACAGGAGGGAATGCTCTCAACTGACAAAGGGCACCCACAAAAACTCCAAGCAGACACCAAAGGCCCGGCTGAAAGGCGGGACCTCCCTCGGGTCAGGCAAGGCTCCTGCCCCCTTGCACAGCACTGTTCTGCTGGTCCTGGCCCTGCAGGAGGACAGAGTCCTGAAAGTGATAGGTGGGTGTGCTCGGGACGGAAACACCCAGGGAACCCGTGCACCTGCTGGAGCTGCCCAGGACCTTTAGCTAACCCACAGGAAGCCAGGCCAGTGTGAAAGGACACTCACAGGGGCTCCTAGCAGCAGCAAACAGAAGAAAGCTTACAAGATTCTTATTTACAACTGAACTTTCTAATATAAGAACATTTTCAACAAAAACTGTACAAAGCTCTCATTGAAAGTACAAAGCAACACAGAAATTAAAGACCTAAGTAATAAACAAAAATACCATTGTCACAGATTGGAAGACTCAATATTGTTAAGATGTCAATTTTCCTAATCCAACAGACTCAGCACAACCCTACCAAAATCCAACACAATTTATTTTACATTTTTTAGAAATTAACAGGATTCTGCAGTGCACATGGAAATGTAAATGGACCCAGAGTAATCAACCATTTTAGCAAAGGGAAGCCACACAGAAGGTCTCACACCCATTTTAAGACCCATCTACGACTATCACATCAGAACAGATCACACTTATGTGCTGAACTGGACTCTAACAGAGGGTGGAATCACTCCATCGGAAGAGAAAGTGTCTTTTTAATAAGAGTGCTGAGAAAACTCAGTACCACCAGGCCTAACCAACACCCTCCAGCCCTGCCTTACACACACACGGGCCAGAGCCCGTGTTGCAGCTCAGAGTGGGTGAAGTCTTGTGGAGTTTCAACAGCACTGAC